AGTGGTTGAGTCCCCATCCCTGGAGGTATTTAAAAGACGTGTAGATGAGGCACTTAGGGATATGGTTTAGTGGGCATAGTGGTGTTGGGTTGATGGTTGGACTCGATGATCTTAGAGGTCTTTTCTAATCTTAATGATTCTATGATTCTATGGTCAAAGTTTAAAAAATCCTGACGGTGGTGGATAAGCTGCACATGGAGCTCTTGTTCTTAAAATCCTGCAGTACAGCAAAGAGGGGATCCTTGATAAAACTAGTATGGAAATTAGTTTAAAACACATAAAAGTAAGCACTTTAGACAGGTGGTCATGTGATTCTGAAGCTTGCTTCTAGAGGAGGTAGTATCAGAAGATTTGAAAAGCAATTAGACAAATTTGTGGACAACAAGTACATAAACAGATAATAAAAGGCCTGGGAACAGACAGTCTAGCACAAAAAGTTGTGTGGCTTCTGGGGAATAAAAGGAGAACGAACTGCAGAAAGTAGCCAGGTGTACACAGTCTCCCTAAACAGCATCTCTTCTTGCCTTTTTCAAACACAGTGATAGATCCTCGGCTTGGGGGGTCTGACCTAGTGAGACCTTTTTTATGTTCTTATGTCATGTCTAATGAGACGAAGTAGTGTCGGTATGTAAATTCACACAGACACACACCACATCATATGCTACAGTAGCATGGAATAATGCTGTGTTCAGAGAGATCCTGGAAAGGGTACATATGTTTAAGAAAGAAGACATGGTTGTCTATACCCAGCTATTTTAGAACACAAATTAATACTGTCTTAGTTCTGCACAGGGAAAAAGGGGGACTACATGTCATGGTAAGTCTAAAACAGCAGCTTCATGGTAGTCCCTCAGGGTACACTGTAAAGGTGTGTTAGTGTTTCAGGGCTTCATTACACTGCAGAGAAATGGTTCTAAATGTAGCAGCAGGTTCCCCAGAAGGATGCACATCCACTCAGAAACACGGTCACTACTGTCTCTTTTGTGGCTGCTCACAAATATTCTAATATGAATATTTACTTGAAAGTTGACAGATAAATAATTTTTAACAGATATGCTGTAAAATAATCACCAATAAATACATGCAAGGAAAAATCATGAGCTTTCTAAGTAGATAAGGGTTTTAACTTATATGTGTATCGAAGTACTCATTTATTACATTAGGATCATGCATTAGTAACATTGTAAAAAGTAGTTTACTGGTTTTATTTTCTTTTCAAATTTCAGCAATCTTCTGTAAGGAAAGTAGATTGGTCTGATTCTCTGGTCTAAGTACAAAGATAAAATTTTTGTGATGCCCTAATTCTCAGCACTAATTTGATCCAAAATAGGTTTTCCTGGATTTCAAACAATGAACTTTCAAAAACCTATCCTCTGTGGCAGTGTCATCAAAAATGAAACATATCTTGGTAAAACAGAAAGGTTTGAAAAAAGAGGTTAAAATAAAAATGAGGAGACTACTTTTGCTGGTTGTAAGTAATGGCCATGAGAAGAGGAATTTCATTAGCTGAAAGTCAAATGAACGTAAGACTTATAAAATGATGATGAAAATGCCAAATCTCAAAATGAAAAAGTAAAAGTGAAGGGACTGAGACTACGCCATTCAAGGCAGTAAGAGTTTTTTCAATTCACTTGAACACGAGCAGAATCAATTCCCTGAAAACTTCTGTTACCAATTACTTGAAACAATCTAATATTTCCCAGGGTCAAGAAGAATTTACTGTGAAAGAAATCCCTGAACCTAAAGAAGTGCATGTCATAGCCGTCATGGTAAGGAGTACCAACCCACACAGCACAATGGAGCCTCTTAGTACTGCCACTGAAAAGGAGGACTTGCTTTGCACTGGGAGCTGCTTCTAATTTTCTGGGGAAAAAAGCTTGCTTTGAAGTATTGTAAGCTTGACATTTTTGGCAGGTCACTTGAGGAAGTGCTGGTATGCGTTTAAGTGTCTCATGCATCTACTCACTGGTACTCTGTTAGCTTTAATGAGCACATATGTATCTATCAAAATAGACCTTGAACTTGAAAACTTAAGCTGGGCACTTACAAAAACATGTCCTGTCTGCTCTGCTGCTTCTAAACAATCTTTTATCATTGGTATATGATATAAGTGAGCCTGACACCAAACAGGGGTCAGATACAGTTTCAGGAAACTGTCGTATCCTTCTTCACGTCATTAATAATAGAAAGAGCGTGCACAGCCAGGAAGCAGAAGCTGGGGCTGTTTTCATTATTACTCTACAGGATAGAAACATGGACTTCTCTGTTTTGCCAAACAACAACCATCCCGATAAATTCCTGCAACTGGAGGTGAAGTCTCTAGTGAAAAACTCTGCCTTTCTACAAGCCAGCCTGGCAAAATTCCCAGAAGCAGCTTTACCTGGCATGCAGCAGTGGCACAACAGGGTCTATTTGCAGGTAAGGTCCAAAAGAGGCTGACATTTTTCCTGATTTTTCTACCTCGTTTTGGGGATCTGGAGACAAATTACATAAGGTTGAGACTTCAGCTGTGGATTCAGCTTCCTGCATCTCTGAATCTGAATCACTAATATCCCCGTAAGTTTTCCCGTTGACTTCAGTGAGGATCAGGCTCCAAGCGAAGAGTCACTCTCTTCAGGGCTGTCCGCTGACTTTATTTCAGTACATTAGGCTTTCTACTGCTCGTTGTAACATTTTCTTAGCATTTCCCAGAAAGTCTATTGATGTCAAGTACTGATTAATTGTACTAAAGGGGCAAAATAAGAAAAAAACCCAGACAAATCTGAAAGCCAGGCCATATCCCTCAAACTCGATGAAAAGGCACATTAGAGAGAGCATCAGAGATTCTTGCTAGTGTCTCGTGAGCTTATGTATGTCTACATAGTTCACTGTAGCTTTCTCTTTATTTTGCCTTGTTTTCCTCATTGTACTTTGACCTTCTGTTATCTTGACAGACAGCTGTTGAAAGTGTATTAATACTAACTGTATTAATCCAGGTTATTATATAGAGGTAGCAGCAGTTTCTTGGTAAAAATGTAAATGTGCGCTGCCTAGTAGAGGCCCTGGAGCCAGCAGCAGCGAAGTTCATGTCTGGATCAGCAGCAGTGCAGCTGCATCAGCTCACACCCCTCTGGGCCCCACTTGCTGCTCCACAGTGCTCCTTTCCTGCTGCCCGGGGAGCCCCTCGCCTTCCCCACCCCTAGCATGAGCAAAAGCTCCAAGGTCTGGTTCTTGTCAAGGGATGGAGACACACATAAGCAATTGGGGCAGCGGGGGGAGGGATGGAGAAGGGTCTGCATCCTGACGATCCTTAGGGTGGGGGTCCAATTCCCCACGGGAATGAGGAGTGGGAGCTGAAAAAACGTCAGCCTGGGGGAGGGGAAGAGAAGCATCCTTAAAGTCTCCCACAGCTACTTCCAGTTGCACTTCTCTCCTGTCAGACATTTCTCCCCACCAGCTCCCCAAACTCCTTCGCTCCCTCCCAGAGTCCATTCCAGTCCTCATCCACATGCAGAAGTCCTCCCCCTCCTGACACCCGCTTCCATGACCCCCCCTTACCTTCCCTAATCTCTTCCCCATCCCAAACACCCTTCCCTCTGCCTACCCCAATGCCTCCAGCCGCCTCTGCTCGTGTTGTATAATCTTTGCTGGCAATTCCCCAAGGAAAGCTGGGAGGGGGGGACACACGGTCGCCCATCGTCTCCCATGCAAAGAGCCCTAACCAAGGGAAGGAGCCTGTGGGATCCCAAACAATGGGGAATGGTGCAATGCTGGCCTCACTCCCCACCCCACCTAAGCCCCTCTTTTGTGCAGGAGGGAGGCAGCCACACACAGAGCCTCCTCCGCAGCAGGGATCCTTCTCCCTATTGTCATTTAACAGAACGCACTGTCACCGAGCCAGGGCTGCAGAGCTGCGGGAGGATTAGAAATGTGTGGGGTGCCCTGTGCTTTTTCGACTTGTGCTCTGCCCTTCACCACCAGCGAGAGGGTTTTCCTGGAACTCTGTTCCCAGCCCCAGGATGGCCATTTCAAAGGAAATGTCTGTGCTCACCATGTCTGCAGAAATGCAGTTTGCAATGCGGTATGTTTTATAAACGTTAAACCTAGGGCACAACCTATATTTTTAAATGTAGTCATTAGTGAATTCAAGCTGTCCAGATAAAATTCATTGTGCCTTATTCTCTCTCCCTTATGAGCTCGCCTCCTTTTTTCCCTTTTGCTGACAATCAAATAAAGGGAAAAGAACTGATGAGTTCCAGACATTAGAATAAACACGATGGCACAGTGGAGAACTAATGGCGCAGGAATAACGTGTTTTGCTTTAAGATGAGAGAGCTAATGGGGTTAAGGGTTAGTTAATTCAAACGGAAACGTGACAATCAAATAAAGGGAAAAGAACTGATGAGTTCCAGACATTAGAATAAACACGATGGCACAGTGGAGAACTAATGGCGCAGGAATAACGTGTTTTGCTTTAAGATGAGAGAGCTAATGGGGTTAAGGGTTAGTTAATTCAGAAACGGAAACGGACGGGGGGGGGGCAAGGGAGGAGAATTCATTTCAGAACATATGTGCGTGACCTACAGACTCCCAAAGTCATAAAACCTTGAGAGTAGCCTGAATTCCCTCTTCAAAAATTCATTTTCTTTAAGAAACTATTGTTACTCAGGGCTCCCCGTGTAAAGTGACTTCTCGGTGGCGTGTTTGTGGTCTCTTCTAGACCTTTATTATGAGATCACGTGAATCCAAGTGCACTTCAACCCTTATGTGTTTTCTCCACCTATAAGTTTTTTAATTTATTTCCATTATAAAAAGCTTGACATAACGACAATTCCTATTGCTGGCCAAAAAGTTGCTGCTCTTTCTCCTTACTTTCCTCTTCTGTATCAGGCAAACTGAACAGCTTCCCTGCTTAGTGTATATTTTCATTGTCTACTTTGAGTAAAACAAACCGGAAAACAGTCCAAGAATCTTGGCCCTTCCTTGTGAAAAGCAGCATAAAGAGCACGGACTGTTTCTCCTGCAAATGGCTAGCTACAGACCGCTTTCTGATTGCCCTGAAAATTTCCAGTCCCACTGGACTCTCTGCCCCACAACATGTTTTATTGTTCAGCATACACCAGATGATTAATCCCCTATATCTGCTTCTGATATCCGGGGTGCATGTCTCCCCTGTAGTCTACCTGGTCATTTTCTGCAATTCTCGGACATCTCTTTCCTGCTTGTATTTCTCTTTTTTCCCTATTTCTGGAAGACAGCAGAGAGCATTTGGTCTTTGAACACCATGCTACTTCTTCTCATGCTGCTCTTGCTTAAGAATTCACAACTCTGAACAAATTTTGGCCTGCGGGTATCATGCTAACTGCACTCCTAACCCTTCCTGGTCTCTCATCTGAGCTAACGCCTGTGTCCTGCCTTTGCTTGTTTCTCAGTGTACCAGGACAAGAGATTTTTTTTGCCTATGTTAGGTGCTGGGTTACAGTCGCCTGTTTGTCCCCTGGCTCATATGTGCGTTACATACTTCCATTCTTTCCCTTATTCTTCCCTGGACATCTGCAACTGGCCACAAGCAGAGCCAGCTGCAAGGTTGGCAGGAGATTTGGTCTGACACCGTACAGAAGTTTTTATATAATGCACTCACAACCCTGCAGAACTCCATTACCAACAACAGATAAAACAGCTTTCTTAATTCATTATGAGGACAGAAATGCTCTCAATGCTGCACAATTAAAATAGTCCGTATGAATGCCTGCTTTTCTCTAAATATTCCTGTCACTTCGGCTTAAGTGTTTATAACCATCTACTAATCTCCTTCCTATCCATGTCAGGTGGCTTCCCAGGTTGCTTTGTAGTTCCTGATGCTGCCTTATGTCTCTGACAAGCAATTCTGATCTCCTTCAGTTCCTTTTATAAGAAAATTTGGATTCTCAGGAATCCTTGATGTGAGCTGTCTGCCCTACCATCTTTCAGATCTGCTTACCTACCTTCAGTTACTCCTTGCCTTCCTGATTGCTTTTCTACAGCATCCCCTATGAGATCAGATTTGTTCAGGAAATTCTGAAGAGCTAATAATTATTTATCCTGATAAATGGGCTTTTTTTATTGACCAAATGCCTAGCAATACCTAAACAGTTGTTACAACTATCACAGGGATTTTTGGGTTACTACCTAGCAGCTTTTTGCCTGTCAGACCTTTTGTCTGTCTTAGAAACAGGTCTCTACATCAGAAAAATGCCCTTCCAAGTGCTGGGAGAGTCCTCCAGGGTGTGTTACAAGGCTTTTGCACAACAGAGGGTCATAGTCTTAAACAAATTACATGCAAATATAATAATCACCCGGCTACACACTTTCACTAGGATTGAGGAGGTTGTTACAAAACAAATCCTGCACTATCTGGTGGCCCTAAATTTCTTGAAGACTCCACTGGTTAAAACTTTTAGGCGTAGCTGCCCATCGACAGCATTTGTCACTTTCATTGAGTATCTCCCCCGACCGCAGCTGGAGACCATGGCTGGCCATGGGACAAGAGGAACTAACTGTCTTTGGGGGGAGTAAAGAAAAATTTGACTTCCAGGATGTAAATTTCCTTAATTTTTTAGGTGTCTCTTTATTCTCTTCTTGCAGGTAGATGGGCTTGAGACCAAGGCCTAGCCTTAACTGTTGATGTCCTGGTTTTGGTGCGTGATTAGCTTGATGCCTCATATCACAGACTGAGGAAAGAATGGTTAGACTCACAAGTTGTTTCAGTGCTAACAACAGTGACAACCGTGGGAACAAAAGGATGAAGTCAAGATAAAAATGAGATTAAAATGTTTCCTAGCAATATAGATTAATTTATAATTTTTAATTATATATATTTTAATGCACCTGTATGCATAATTTGCATTATGAAATAATTGGCAAGAAAAATCTGTGGAGAAAGCACATTTTGACCCAGGGATGAAACTAACATTGACTCTCTACAGATCTTCAGGCTTTTTACAGAATCCTCTTTTTGTACATGCCAGCTCTCTGGGTCTATCAAAGCGGGACAAACTGTTCTCAGTGAAACACGAGTTATAAATCATAGCAGCTTTCTTGCTCATGAGCTATATGTAGATCAAACACAGTTATATGTTTACAGAGTTGAGCATTTTTCATCTTGTTAAATGAGTATTTCATCAACACATTTCAACTACAGTTTCTCAGAGTTCTTCATACCTATTGCTGCTTTGAGTATTTACTGTTCCCTCCTTCCATTCAATGAGTAGTAACATAAATTGCCTCTGATTTGATCTGCTCCACCCTCATTCACACTGGCTTCTTAGACACAGTGTGTATCATATAAATTCTGTAACGCATACGGATACCTAAGTTTACAATACTTTCCTCTTTCTTTGAACATTTGCTTCATCAATCAGAATCAAAACATAGAAGTCTGTGAAAACTGTTGGGAGATGTTTTGAATCTTAAAAGAAAAAAATATGTAGTTTTTGCTAGAATTAATACTAGCAGGCATATTTTTATTATCTAATCTCCTTCTGTTTCTCTGCTTCTATAAATGCATATGTTTCATGTAATCTTCTTCATATTTCTCTGTATCATTTCTTGGACCTAAACCTTTTTTTTTTTCCCCCACATGTGCTTCAGGCTTCTGTCCTTCTTTTTCCCTAACTAGTCTCTAGGACATATCTACTGCAGAAGTTTCACAATCAAGCATTTGCCTGCACTCAAGTGTATTCTCCCAAATAGCTTGGCACTTCAATGTCTGTTCTCTAAAACTACTGCAAACTATCTCCTACCCCAAATTCCAGTCCAGTTCTCACAGTAAAACCCTGTTGCCCCTTCCATCCTACTCCCTCTCTACCTCTGCTCCAGGCTACCACATTCTCCTGTACTCATGCCCGTGAAAAGGAAGGTACTCCAGACGGAAGGGGCAAAAAGTTTTGCCACAAAGCACTCTATGAACAAATTTTGCATCATGCCATCCATTCCAAATTTTGGAGCATTTTATTTAAAACAGCTTTAGAAATTACTGTCAAGTCACATTCTTTTCACAACATTTTAGCCTAGGGAGACTGAGCATCCCCTGGTGAGACAGTTCATGTTCTTCAACAAAATGTTCTCCAAGATCAACTATCTAGCAAGCCTGAGGGAAGCATCATTAAGGTCAGTGACAAATTTTAAGTAAGAAAAAGTAAGAAATTAAAAAAAAAAAAAAAAAAAAAAAAAAAAAAAAAAAAAAAAAAAAAAAAAAAAAAAAAAAAAAAAAAAAAAAAAAAAAAAAAAAAAAAAAAAAAAAAAAAAAAAAAAAAAAAAAAAGACAGTTAAAAAGACCAGCTCGGCTGAAATCTGGCCAGTACAACCCAGAGGGCTTCAGTGCCAGCTGTAATGCAAAGAGTAATATTGTCAGGGGATATGTGAAGGCTGAGGAATTACATATGGAAATCATGAACTAACAGAGGGACTGGGAGGGCATTGAGGATCCACCCACCTACTAATGGTAATTATTGATGGGAAACATGCTTAGTCACTTGTGCATGATTTAGTGATAAGAATGCCAGCATGATGCTTCCTCCTAGGGTTTCTTAGGCAAAGGCTGTTGTTTTCTCTTCTAGACCTTTCCTTTCAGAAGGAAACCAGTCCTCCTGCTTCCTTCTACACTTGCCTGCCCCAGGCAAACTCACACATGTCTATGCATCTGCACAGGCACCGAGGCATAAAGTAGGCGATGACATGTAGCAGCTGGCTTCCACTGAAAGTGGATTCACCAGACCACGAAGCGGGCAGAAAATTACTCAAGCAGAAAAAGCCAGCAGTGTGCCATCAGCTTAGGGACCTGCACTGGCTGATGTGGGATCCGAGCAGCTCCCAGAGCCAGTGTGCGGGAGGAGGTGGGATCCCCTGGGCTCCCACCAGAAAGGTGGAAGGAGAAGCAGGACGTGTCCCTAGCAGCAGCGAACCCTTTGGCTGCTGAAGTCCGTCCAGCCCGTGGCACCTTAATGGCTGGAGATCTCAATATTAGTGAAACATCCTGGGAAAGACGTCCTTTCATGGAAGGAAGTTTCTCAGGTCCCAGCTGTTTATGATGTGCACTCACTTTATGGGATTCTGGCAGTGGGTTCTGCCCACACCTTTGTGATTTCTGAGGGTGGGAGAGGGCTGGGGTGTGCCCCCCTCCCAGCATGCCTGCTGCAGGGTCACCGGGTCAGGCCAAGGCTCCCCTTGTCTTAACATAAAGTTCCTAAGGACAAAGGTGCTAATGGGGAAGTGGTGTTTGCTAATGAGGAAAGCTGAAGTTGCACTGTGATGGTTCTGTAGAAGCAGTCCTGAGACACGGGCAGGTGTTCGAGTGAGGCAAGGGCTGTGCCAGAAGCAGGTCTCTCGGGAAGCTGATGCACCGCCGGAACTGCAGATCGGTGACAGATTAATTCAAAGTCTCGGGAACAGAAGGTTGTGGTGAACCAAAATGTTGAACAGCTTGAATTGGAGAGTCTGATTTCATTTATCCATGCAATTACGGATCAAAAAATATGGTAACTACCATCTTACCGGCTCCTGAAGAGGCTCTTAGTGCTTTGTTAAGCAGCAGCTTGTGAGTTCTCCAAAAATGTGATCCCACCAGGGTTGTTCATCCTCCTCCCTTGCCACTCCCCTGTTCTAAAAGGTACGATTTAACGATTGTTGTTGCTGGGAGACTGCTCAGATATTTAATTACCTTTGAGTTCTGACAATGCCCAAATTAAGGACTCTCCCTCAGTTGAATGAAGGGCCTCTTTGACATCCTGACATCAGTCTAGCATTCAACAGCGTGAACAGAACTGCAAATCATACCCCTGCTGTCAGAGGTGCAGCTCCAGTCAAGGCAGTCCCTTACACACCATTACCCCCTGCGCTTTGTTCTGCTTTGTCCTTAGAGCTCTACTTCTGCACCATACGCCCATGGCTTTCATCAGAACTGCATCTTCTACCGTCGTGCTCCCATAGCACTGTTTTGCTAAAGCAGAGGCTTTCTTTCAGCAGGCATTATAATGCCAGTTCACATTTGCAAAAGAGTTTAATGTTCAGATTGTACCCACGTGCTTTCCCCAGAAGGAATAAATCTGCCCGGAGCGACCAGTCAGGCTCCCTTACTGCACCGTAGATGTTTGCCAGATGAGAAAAATTGTTGCATGTGTAATTTTAAAAATTATTCTTTTGTGTTACAAATGATAACTCTGGAAGGGGACCTGTGTCATAGGTAAATGAAGATGAAAGCCAACTTCTGATCTAACTTGTGCCTTACAGAGAGAAAAGAGAAATGTCACTGAGCTGCCGGGCTTAGACTCAAACGAGGTCAGTCAAGAAATGACAGACAAAGCCCTTGGGAAATACATTACACCCATCACCCTGAAATCCACAATCAAAAGCAACCCCTTGTATAGTGATATCCAGACGGATGACGACTGGGAGGAGAAGAAAAAGACCCCTTCCTGGACTGTGCAAGACTATGACAGGCACTCGCTGCACTCTAATTTGGCCAGCCACATAAAGGTAATGTGCTGTTGCACTGCATTTGGGCAAAGTGAATTGCTATGAGCTGTGTGGTGTGTGCATGAACCACTGCGCAGACCACTTGGTTCTTTTGGTGGGATTCCAGAAGTAAATATGGACGTATTTTCCGGTACAGACATGACACTAACATGAGTCTGATCAGGAAAAGAAGTCTACGTATCTGGTTAGACTCCAGGAATTTCAGTTCTGCAGAACACGACTTCTGTGACTACAGAAAGTCTTAAACCGCAACACCCCGCAACTCAGCTTCCCTGTTTTTATAGGGAAGAACTATAAACGAGGCACTTAAATACTATGTGCCCACTTTAACAACTGTTCATAACATCATTCTGTTACCAAATAACATACATTTTCTCAGCCTTATGCACACTATGCAAGATCCTGCCTGCCTGTGGGTTGGCACAAATCACTTTTAGGGTTACATTTGTGAGTCTTTTTCTGCTGTTCCCTTTTTTGGAAAGGACCCAGATCTGTGTTTACAAATTGACATCTCTTCTTGAGAAGACAACATGGTTTATTCTGGGTTTTTTAATCACATTTCAATGGCTGGTGTCCTACATTTGGTTCCTGGCTGAAAAGTGTGGTTTTAATTTTCCCCAGTGGAACATGTGCAGCATCTGGCAAGTAGTGCAACCTATGTTCAAGTGAAAGTTTCTTGCATTTGTGTTGTGATGCCTTAAATTCATTAATCACTATCTGATGATAGCCAAAATACTTCTGGCTATGTTCTAATGACTTTATGTGCAAGACAGAATAACTGAGTTCATTTTCTGATTTTTCTTTTAGGAAAATCCTAATGATCTACAGTTCTGGATGGGGGATATTTATACTCCTGGGTATGATACCTTGTTAAAAAAGAAAGAGAGAGAAAAAAAGCATTCCAAATGTTGCCAAATCATCCTGCTCATGGTACTAGCTGTTTGCATCCTGATTACCATAGTCACGCTCAGTATTTTACTTACTTAGTACAGCCAAATGCTGTTGATGGGAATTTTTTCAATAAATATTTTTATTAAGCTATTCCCCTCCCTTGTTTTATTTGAATTCCAATTTTTTGTCACAAATACAATTTGTTTGACATCACTATTTTACAATGTTCCTGTGCAGCATAAGGAATTGATGCTGAAAAGAGACAAATACTCTGAGCACGGCAGAATGTCTTCTTATGGGCATAATTAAAAAAGAAAACTATAAATATGCTACTTTTCTTAGTGCCGCCTTCTTTGGACTAGTGATTTGAGTCAGTATGTGTGGTATGGTACACAGAGTATGTACAGACAACCAGCTGACTATTTGTTCTAATAAACACCTACCATCCCGTTCATCTTTTTATGATGGCTATTATTGGAATATAGAAAAGTATGATAAAGCAGTATTCAAGATATCTGAAAGAATAAAGCAAAAATTTACGTATTACTTAGTGACTGAGTGCATTGCTGCAATGATGCAGCACTTAGTAAAAAGCTAGCTTACGTGCATAAATGTTTCCTTATCTTTTTCAGAGAAGAAAAACAAAAAATAGACTGTTGAACTTCTATCAAAAGCATTCCCTGAGACAGGGTTTCTTCATCCCTGTGTCATGTTCTTTGAACATGTAGCATCTCTGTCACCCCAAACCCCAAAAGATGGAGTGCCAGTATTTTTTTAATCTGACACATCAAAAACTGGAGCAAAATTGGTGAAGTACTAGAATCATAGAATCATTAAGGTTGGAAAAGACCTCTAAGATCATCGAGTCCACCCGTCAGCCCAACCCCACCATGCCCACTAAACCATGTCCCTAAGCGCCTCATCTACACATCTTTTAAATACCTCCAGGGATGGGGACTCAACCACTTCCCTGGGCAGCCTCTTCCAATGT